AGGTACATGCCCTTGACCAGAATCAAACCCGGGACCCTTCCGTCAGCAGGCTGACAGTCTACCCACTGAGCCAAACTAGTCTTGGCAAATGACAGTTTTGAAAGACAGTTTTGAAGGGCCAGATGAAATGCTAAGATTAAGAAATAGGAAGGAGAGTCAAGGGAGGGGGTAATTGTCAGTGTTTTTTTGCCACAGAACATGGGACATTTCTGCCAGGAGCAAGAGAGCAATCTGGCAGCCTGCTAGCGATAAGAGAGTGAGACATTTCCAAAATGCTACCCCTGGTAAGTCTCTCCTGCATTAGGAAATAAAACTTCCCTAGGAAGCACAGGCAAGTGAATTCTGAGTTAGTGTCTAGCAGGGACTATTCCTCTCTGGATTACCAGCCTCAGTTTAGTGCCTGGCATTAAGTCAATGTTAACTAACTGGATCTGAGGGGCAATGGTCTGCCTAGATGTGAGGATGGGATGCAGGTGGCAGATGGGCCCAAATGGGAGAAGAGAGGTGAGCAAGAGCTCCTACAGATTCCTGGGTCTCCATTCATTTCCACCGCTTAAGCCAATAGGCATGACAGTGCTAGAAGTGGATCTCCTAAAGGGTATGGGGAGCATATGCACAGCCTTCTAATGATCAAACCAGAGGCCTAGGCCATTTGGGACCCCTTCTAGGGACCTCACTGCATGTTATTTCTACCCATGTTAAAGTATTAATCATACAACATCCAAAGGAAGATTTACTTTTCCACAACCCCAGTCTGGAGGCAGCAATGGGTGAGCCACCTATCTCTACATCATCTCTGCCCAATACAGATTATAGGACAGAGGGAATGTTTGGTATATGCATGTTGACTAACTGTATACCATGAGGTAAACTTCGTTGACTTTTCACACACCAAGGTGAGGACCATGTCTCTGTTTCCGTCGCTCTCTCTCCTTCTTCTGAGTGTGGTGACGACATCTTATTCAGCAATAGAACCTGATGAGAGCCTTCCAAAAACCTGCCCTGTGGTCACCTGCGCTTCTCCGGGCTTGCCAGGCAGAGATGGGCGTGATGGCCTCAAGGGAGAAAAAGGAGAACCAGGTAGAGCTTGGGCTATTCTTTATCTGTTAATCTATAATTACCAGACGAAACTACCTGGGGATGTAAGAGCAATGTCCAATTCATATGGGTTGTATTTCTCTCAACTATATAACACACTGTGTGGCCAGATTATTATGATCTCTGAAGATAATAATCTGGCCACTCAGTAAATATATGTTAGAGGCATGATGTTTGAATTTGTGCATGGGTGGCGCCCAGCCAGCCTGTCCAGGGTGAGGTTACATTGGCGGTTGGCCGGCCTGCCTGTTGGTTGAACTCCTGGTCAAGGGGACAATTTGCATGTTAGCCTTTTATTATATATGATATACACTGAGTGGCCAGATTGTTATGCGTTTTGAGATCATAAGTATCAGGCCACTCAGTGTATAATTCAAAACAAATACAGCTCTGACTCTGGAAACACAGGAGTTGGTGACATGTGGTTGTCCTGCTTACTCAGGGAGTGGCCCTCATGGCAGGCCATCCCGAGGGACCTGGGAAGATTTTCTTCTCTGTGTCAGTGGAAGTAGTGATTTAGGAAGCAGGTCCTAGATAAATGTCTCTGTTCTCCTAGGAAAAGATTAAGCATCAAACTCTGGGAGAAATAGAGTAAACACAGAGACACTAATTTCTGTTTCCTTCTTCCCATAGGCGAAGGGCTCAGCGGCATTCAAGGTCCCCCTGGAAAGTTGGGAACTCAAGGAAATCCAGGACTTCCGGGGCTACCAGGATTTATGGGCCCAAAAGGAGACCCTGGAGTATGTCCAAGTAAGAAGCTAACCTCAACCAGGTCTAGGCTGACGGCCTTGTCCCAGGGTCTTGGAATTTGGAGAACCAGTTGGGAGGTACCACTTCTGCTGCTTCATGGAAAGATGACCAACTCTGCTTCCTGACCCAGCACACTCAGCCCTTACTTAGAGCCTAATGGGATCTCTGAGTATTGACTTATAGACCCTTCAGAGCCACTCCTTCACCAAGCTCTCCCTAAAGTAGCTGGGCCTTGGCTTTCCTTTAGCTACCACAATGTGAGGCTCTGGACCAAAAGGGAGAAAGTGGACTATGTGTGTGTTGGGCTGACTATGTCTATTTTCACAAGCAGTATACACATGGCATGTCAGTTATCTCTTACTTCACGAGAAGCAAACAAAAAACACAACCATTTATTTAAATCATGATTTTGTGGATCTGCCAACTGCTTTTGCTGCTGATCTCAGTGTCCGTGTTGACCGACAGTCTCACTTATATGTCTGCCTGTTGCTTAGTTGTTAGGTGGAGTGAGGAGTGTAATTGACCCACAGGTCTTCCATCCTCCAATAATCTAGCCCGGCTTGTTCATATAGAGGTGATTACAAAATACCCAATAGCAGAAAGCGTAGAAGCTTTGAGGCCTTCTGAAGGCTCAGAAAATGTACATTATTGGTTCTGTCGCCTTCTGTTGTCAAAGCAAGTCACAGGGCAAGCAGGGTTCAAGGAATGGGGAAATAGACTCCATTTCTTAAACAGATAAGCTGTACCATATGGAGGCCATTTTGCCATCTTTGACACACGGCCTGCCTTATGCCCTCCCCCTTAAATAATGTGCAATTCACAAAAATCTTGGTTTACTGAACAAACTCTGAGAAAAAACAAAGACAAAACAATAAAGCAATAAAAACAAAATCTTCCTAAAGACAAAATCTGTAATCTTTTTAGATTCACTTGCACATAATAATTCCCAGAGACTTACTTTTTATTCATCCTGTCATCATTTATTTAAAAAAAAAAATATAGCCGAAACCGGTTTGGCTCAATGGATAGAGCATCGGCTTGGGGACTGAAAGGTCCCGGGTTCGATTCCGGTCAAGGGCATGCACCTTGGTTGCGGGCATATCCCCAGTAGGGGGTGTGCAAGAGGCAGCTGATCAATGACTCTCTCTCATCGATGTTTCTAACTCTCTATCTCTCTCCCTTCCTCTCTGTACAAAATCAATAAAATATATTAAAAAAATAATAATAATAATAAATAAATAAATAAAAATATTGTAAATAGCTTAGCGTATGGAGTGCTATCATGCTAGGTTATCTGGGAGTGCATATGTGTCCATGTATGTGTGCACGTGCGTAAAGTGTCTAAATACTTTCAATAGATGAGGAGTGATGTTTTGGGCGGGATGGCAATACAGGTACTTTTACATCACTTCTTCTTAATATTTTTATTTTCCTTCAAAAAGTAAGTATTAATGTATAAGAAAATTATATATATTTTTTTAATTTTGAAAATTACCCTACCCAGTTATAACTCTGAAATCCCTTCCCAACAATGTTCTTTCACTTTGTTTACATTTTCTAGAGTGTGATGATGACCTGGCTGTTTTACAAAGAGAAGCTCTGCGCTCAGAATTGGATAGTGTCGAAAAGTGTAAGCCTTCTCTCTCATGTTTCAGTTTAGGAAGGTGCACGGTATTTGTTAAATACAAGTAATTTTCTAGTACCCACGTAAGTGTCCCTCGGGATCTGATCTCATGAAATCCTTCAAAACTTTTAGTAGAAATGGAGGCAAAGAGAAATAGGATAACTTGCTCAAAGGCACAGAGCTAGTAAGTGTCAGAGGGAGTTTATAAATTGAAGCCAGTCTGACTCCAGAGACACCACCTTCTCCCGTTCTCCTCTTTCTCCCCACTTCACCCCCAATTCTATACTTTCTACTAACTGTGTGTATATATGTCACTGAAAACTGGACCTAAGCCTCTTTCTCTTTGTGGTGTTGATATTGAGACCAGACAATGGGGCCTAACCTGCTTCTTTGTGCCCTGCTGGCCTGAAGCAAATGTTTGCAGACATTTTTCTTTCTTCTCCAGTGAGTATACTGGGGTAAAATACACAATTACCAATTACATGTGTTCTAGAACTCTTGTCCAAAAGGACAAAGGCCTTTGATCCAGTCTGTTTTCAAGTTAGGTTTGCCTACTTAAATTTTAATCTCAGATAAAAACTAATATTTCTCAGGATATGTCCTCAAAATTTTTGTCAGAATATACTTATAATAAAAAAAAATTCACTGTTTATCTGAAATTAAAATTTAACTGGACATGCCGGTATTTCATATGACAATTCTCTAGAAGCCTTTATCCAGAAAACTACCTAAAGACAAGTCAGTGTCATCCCCATGTTTTTTGTTTCAGGGCTGACCTTTGCTCTGGGCAAAAAAGTTGGAAGGAAGTTATACTTGACCAATGGTAAAAAGATGACCTTTGACAGAGTGAAGGCAGAGTGCTCCCATTTTCAGGCCTCCATGGCCGTCCCCATGAATGCTGAAGAGAACGAGGCCATCCTGCATATCACCAAAGGAAATGCCTTCTTGGGCATCACAGACAAGGAGAGAGAAGGCCATTTTGTGGATCTGACAGGAAGGCCTGTGACCTACCAAAATTGGAATGCTCATGAGCCCAACAATGCCTACAATGAGGAACATTGTGTGGTAATCCTCCCTGAAGGCACCTGGAATGACATCAGCTGCTCATCCCCCCATTTGGCAGTTTGCGAGTTCCCTGTCTGAGAAAGTTTGGTCCTCAAGCCCTTCTGTCCTTGGACCTCATGTCAGGCCCACAGTCTGCTTTGAAAGATAAGACTATGCCAATTTATTCATACCCAGTATTGATGCTACCCTTTGTGGGGAATTGGAGAAAATAAGAATGGACTGAAAGATGGGATGTGGAAGTGAGAAGAAACTGGTGAGGGGGTACAATGAGAGTTTCTGATTCAAACTCAATCACTGATAACAACAACAAAATTGTAACAGTAATAGTAAATAGCAGCAGCAATAGAAGTACTGGTATTTTTAATGTTTCCTATGAATCAGACCCTATAGTATGCATTTTATATTGAGTAGTGTTAACTTGCTAAGATGTAAAAATAAAATATTTTACTATAAACACTTGTGACCTGTCAAGTCTCTCCTAGGGGTGTCGAACTCAATCAGAGAAGGGGCCAAAATCTAAAATCCAGCCTAAATCGCGGGCTGAATGGTTTACTGAACAGTCATAAACTGTCATTGTGATGGAAACGCAGCGGAGTGCAGTGATGACAGCGCGCTGCGGGCCACATTGCAAGGCCTGGCGGGACGGATTTGGCCTGCCGGCCTTGTTTTTGACACATGTGGGAGAGACCCATTAATGACATCCCCAGCCTAACGCCATAGCTTTTTGGCTAGTTTCAGATATTAAGAGGCTCTATTTAGTTGCTTTTTTCTGCACTATATTTTCTTTTCTTTTCAATGAGATACTCAACTATGTAAAGAACATAGATTTCAAGTTAACTAATAAATGAATTCTACTAGATCAAGATACAGGGAATTTCTAGCATCCTCGGTGCCTCTTCATAACCTCTCCTAGTTGATATGCACATGGTAAATACTATGCTGACTTCTATTACCATACACTAATCTGATCTATTTATGAATTTTACCAAAATCTTACTAATTATGACCCTCTTATAGAACGAACATACATACATACATACATACATACTGTTTTATGTTTTGCTTATTTTATTCAGAATTAGGTCTGTAAAATTCATTCATGCTGTTACATTGTCACAAATGATTTTTCATTTTCTTTGCCACCTAGGGCTCCACTATAAGCATAACTCTCAGTTTATCCATTCTATTTTTAATAGACTGTTCGACTGCTTACAATTTTCAATTTTTGACCATTAAGAAAATTCATGAAATTTTTTGCATTTGTCTTTTGATAGACATGCACTAATTTCTCTTGGTTATATAACCAGGAGTAGAATTGGTAGCTCATGGGGGAAGTATGTGTTTAGCTTTAGTAGGGACCACCAGATTTCCAAAGTTATCAAAGGAATTTACACTCTCACCAGTAATGCGTGCCAGTTCTAGTTGCTCTACCTACTTGTAAAGAATTAATTTTTTTAGTCCTTCTAATTTTAGTCATTCTTGTGAGTGTAAGTACCTCATGATGGCTTTACTCTCCATTTCCATAAGAGTTGGAACACTTCTTCATAGGCTATTGGCTACTTGGACATCTTTTGTGAAGTACTTATCCAAGCCTTTTGTATTTCGTTTAAATTTAGTAGCCAATATCTTTCTTATTGATTTGTAAGAGCATCTTATATGTGACTGAAATAGAGCAGTGTATGTTTGAAATGTTAAAAAGAAAAAAAAGAAACTAGGGCATATTATGTCATATTAAAATTTATGACACTTACTTGAGCAAATACTGACTTGAATTGGGCAGCACAAAACCAAAAGCAGTTAGGAGCACTCTGCTAACAGAAGCTAGAGTCCATGTTTTCACAGAGAACATGGGGAAGCAAAACAAATAAATTATTGATTAGCTAGCGCTTAAGCAGTGCCACATTTGGGAAAGCCCCACTGGCAGTTTGTCATTGGTCATTCTTAGGTTTCATTTCCTGGGATCAAGGGCACTGACTTAGGCTTAGGTTTCCATTTGCTAATGTAGGCTACCAAGTCATTCCAGCCACCTCAGTCTAATGGCCTCCTTGCTTAATCACTTTATCAGTAGTTAGAAAAATTAAAAACCATTTTGTTTCCATCAAAATCCTACATGGAACACAACATACAAGAGGTTAAAGAGCAATTTTATCAGAAAATATTTCTTTCTGTGTTTCTAACAGTTCAAAATCCATAGCTTTATACAACAAGACAGTGCTCTGATAAATTTTTTAAATGTTGAAATGTAAGGTTATTAATGTTGGCTTTAGGGTGGTTGGGTTTCTGCATTCAATTTCCTTTTTTATATCTAGCTGTGGCTGCACAATATCAGAATAATGAGTGACATGGTTACACATTCTTTAAATGACAGTTGGGTGCAAGATGCATTCTGGGGATTTTCTTATTTCAACTAGCTTTTCAACTCAAACAAATACCCTAGGCCACACCAGGCCCTGGCTCCGAGTGAGAGGAAGCACAGCCTGCCATCTGGGCAACAACAAGCATTTTTCTGCAGTGGAAGGCCCGATAGCAGTCTAGGAGCTATTTTCTGCCTCCAAGTGATAGTTAGCTTGTGACAATGATAGATCTGAACAAAAAGATGCAGTAGTGACTTAGGAGTACAATTTTGGCCCCCCACACCTAATAGGAACCAATATACCTGTTTTTCTTTAAAGAATTCATTGTGATTTGTTTCTAGTATCTTAAGATCCATTTATTGATAGTAAAATTTGTGTTAAAGTACACATGACACAATATACCATCTTAACTATTTTTAAGTGCGCAGTTCAGTAATATGAAAGACTTGCAACATTACTAATCATCAGGGAAATGCAAATCCTTAAGATGTCACCCACACCTGTTACCATGGCTGTTATCAAAATACCAAAAGTTAATAAGCATTGGAGAGGATATAGAGAAAAGAGAAACTTTGTAGGCTATCTGTGGAAATGTAAATCAATACAGATAATCTGGAAAACAGTATGGCTGTTCCTGAAGGAATTTTAAGCTGAACTACCATATGATCCAGCAATTTCACACTGGGGTATATTTCCAAAGAAATTGAAATATGAAAAAATATCTGTACCTCCATGTTCATTGCAACATTATTCACAGTATTCAAGATGTGGAAAAACCATAAATCTGTCTGTCAACTGAAAATTTGACTTTAAAAATGTAAAACACACACAAGGATCTTATTCAGCCTTAAAAAAAGAATCATAAAATCTTGCTATTTAAAAACTAGTATAGCTTATAACAACAGCTTCTGGGTCTCCACAAAGGACATGTGAGTTGCAAGAATTATCACATCTTGAGAAGTCCAAAGCTATGTCTCCCAAACTGATATTTTTAATGCATTCTGCCCTCCTGAGTCAGAGGCAGTCCAAAATTAGAGGTCATTTTTACCACATGCAATATTCCTAAGTAACACAGCTGACATTCCACTTTTATCAGGTTTCCAGGCAAATAGAACTAGAAAGTTAGTCCAAGGTCAAATTTCATAGAAGAATGGGTTTTGTTAAACCTGTACTCAACACAGTGCCACTTCAAAAACCAGTATTCACAGACTCTTCCTGAAGAAAGAGGACTTCAAACAAAACAAATGGAAAAATGACATATGAGGATAAAAACATATTATTGTTTCATCTGACTCTTGGGATCATGACAAGGACAGGCACAGGCAGCCATGAAGTAGGCTAACATGGGCTCCCCTAGCCTTTACATGAGCTCCGCAAAGAGCTTTAGTGCACTGAACTGACATGTACACCAGACGGAGAGAGGAACCCACCGGGCTGAATTTCTAAAGTTCCCAGGGTAGCAATGGACTTCCTAGGTGGTGACACGTTTCTGACAAGTTCAAATGCACAGGGAAACCTATGGAAATAATTTTGTTCTCAGTTTCACAGAAAGACATGGTCACCTAGCAACCCAAGCGATTGGGTTGACTGTGTCCAAGTCAGTAAATTTTGGTTCACCTACCTGTGTGTGCTAGTGTTATTTTTGCTTAGTTTTATAGCCTTCATATATTTTAGAAAATAAATTCTAACCCCACATTTGCAGGCCAGGAGTGGTTCCCTGCATCCCTGAAGTGGTTTTAAAAGAAAAGTTGACTATGATATCATCTACCTTAGTTTTTAATAATAACTATTATTAAAATACTACCACTATTCTATTACTTCTACTACTACTCTAATATTAATAATAATAATATTACGATACGTTCCAGTTACTGTGGCTGGTAACTGAAAAAATCAAGGACACAATAGTGTCTCCTCATTTGTGTTAACATTTCTTGTCAAGACAGCAGAGGGTGCTCTTCTCTTAAGATATTACACTAACCACTAGAAATCTATTTCAAGATGTTTTCTTAGTACCCTGTTTCCCCAAAAATGAGACAGTGTCTTATATTAATTTTTGCTTCCAAAGATGCGCTAGGTCTTATTTTCAGGGAATGTCTTATTTTTCCATGAAGAAGAATATGGTACACATTTATTGTTAAATGAAAATAAAGGAAATTTATTTCCCGTATACGGTACTGTAGTACGGTAGTTGTCAACACAAACCAGACAAACTGTGAATCCTACAGTATCAAGAATTTACTCATTTATTCAATGACAATCATGTCATCATCTTCTGGAACATCATCATAACAAACCAATTCCTGAATTTCCTGGTGAATTTCTTGTAACTCCATTTCTTTCAGATTCAGTGGACCAAATCTCTCATGTTTAGCCTGGGGGGGGGGGGGGGCCTTATTTTCAGGAGGATGCCTTATATTTCATTCAAAAGGAAACCTATAAGTAGGTCTTATTTTTGGAGGATGTCTTATTTTCAGGGAAACATGGTAGCAATAAATGTAACTTAATAACATTTTTATCTGTATTGTTTTTCAAGTTCTTGGCTTTCAAAGGAGATTATTTCTTGAATTTAGGTATCATTAATAGTATTCCTGCCCATTCAATTGTTCTTGAAAATGTAACAAAGCTATAGATGTGCCAAAAAAATAAATCTATTCATATATACATGAAAAAATTGTTGAAGAATTTCAGGAGATAGAAAAAACCCACACAGTTGGAATGTTTCAAAATATGCCTGTATTTTGAAGATGCAGCTTACAGAAAAACAAAACACATTTTCTTATGAAAAATATCAAACATAACGGAGAAAATAAAATGATAAATTCAGAACCCCTTTCCCTTCTCCACTGGATGATACATACTGGATGATTTTGAGCCCAATTTCAATCATCATATTAATCCTCTATAAATTATGTAAGTATTTCAAAAGGATTTTAAAACTTATGAACTTTTTTAAAAAACATAACCGAATAATACCATTATTGCATCTTAAAAAATGAACAATCACTCAATCACTCCATAATATTGTCAAATATCATATTATCATTACTTAATAACTTTTTAATAAACCTAACTGATGGGTTTATTTATTTCAT